CTTAATACTAAACCTATACATATATGCACATAGATCTATTTCCACATCCTCATATGTAAATATATTTGATATGTACATGCTTTTTTTAGACCTCTATAAATGCCCCTTGCCTCCTAGCTCTTTCCTCTATTTCCTTTGACTTTCCTCTTGTCCCACTATCATGCTCGGCCTTCATTTGGGTTTCAGTAATTCCTCTCGGTTATATTAATCTTGGTCACCCCTACCAGGCCTCCTACACCCTCCTCACCACTGATTTGGATCACTTGTTGTTCCCTTGTCCCTGGGTTTGTTAACACACTTCCTTTCCCCCAGGGTCCCCCTCTCCCATGTCCCCACAACTGTCGGTCCTGTTGTTTTCTTCTCCAGATTGTTCATTCAGCCTATCTTAATTAAACAGAGCTGTGGAGATAATAACATGCACAAAAACAAGACAGAGCAAAACCAAGCAACAAAATAAAACAAAAGAACAGCAACAAGAAGCCAATGACAAACAAAACAAAACAAAACACAACAACAAGAAAGAAGAGCTTGTAGTTAGTTCAAGGACTGTTTGTTGGCCTCTAGGAGTGTTTCCTGGTTGAGTCTAATCGGGCACTAAGCCCTCACACCAAAATCTATTTTTGATTTTCCCTGGGGACTTTGTTGCTCTGTTCTCCTTGGTGTTCTGTTACACGCCCTTAGTGTTTTGCTCGGTGTGGTGGGATCAGATTGGGCGGAATTCCCACACTGTGTCTCCACTGTTGTCTCCTGTAGGGCTATGTACTCATTATTATTAACTCCTCATTTCTCCCCTATATTCCCCGCCATGTCCCTAAGAAACCATTAATCCACTTACTATCTGTATATACTTGCCTATATTGGATTTCATATACAGAAAAACATTAAACAAACAAAAACAACCAACAATAATTAAGTAAAACTGAGAAAAGCCTCAATAAAAAAGCAGAATATATTAAACATTAGAACAAATTTAAAAATAGGATACAAAGGAGAACAAATAATAGGTTAAATTTTAACCTAGTGACATCAGCGTTAATCCACTTTTCAATGACCCAGTCTAACAGCAAGACTATTCACATCCCTGTCTATGCTCAGAGAGGCTTTTCTGGAGACTCAATCTGTGTGTCGGCCCTGCGAATGGATTTTGGGCTTCCACTGTCATCCATAGCCTTCTGAAAACTGGTGTTCAGAATTTAAGCTCTAATACCATTCTGTCCTCTAGTTTGGGATTGTATTATTTACAATCCTTGGATCACATAGGCTGGTGGACTACTTCCACGTGAACTTAAGTGTTTTCTTGAAGTGAACCAAATGTTTCAGGCTTGCCTAATATGAAGTCATAGCTTTCTTTTTAAAAATAACGTGGCTTTTTGTGTATGGATTGGGATAACAGTTGTATGAGCCCCTAATAAAATGTAAAAAAAAAAAAAA